CATTAGAAAAAAAAAAAAAAAAACTAAATTGTTTGCAGTGTTACAGTTACATGAACAATGGTCCAGTTCACAAAGCTAACAAATTACTATAAAAAATAAACAACTAGGAAAAGCAAGAAATCCGAACTACATTAAAACTTTGGTCGTCTCGCTTAAAGAACTACTTGAAGACCTTAAAACGTTCAACAAACAAACGAAAGAATTTTCCAATTTATTAACCTTGCAAGCTGTCCATCTACAGGCTGATAATTCAAAATACAGAAAGCCAACTGCCACATCTACCGCACAAAATAAAATTTTTCCTGCAAATTTCACATAATATTTAACTTCTGCAAAATCCATTTATTCAATAATAATCACTGGCCTGCGCAAATTATTTATTATTCGTTGTATGAAAGTGAAACTCGCACCACATTTCATTATTTTTTAGTGATCTCACTCTGCCGATTCCATACGTATTGCAGGGTACCCTACACAAAACCCCTTCAATGCGTTTGGTATATACCACAATAAAATTGAAATGCAGAGTAAGCTTGGTAGCATTTCAATCAAAATCTATAAAGGAATCAATATATAAAATTGAATTAAAAAGAGAAAATAAAATGGATAGAATTGAATAAAGAATAGGCTTCTTTACTTTATTGAAAGAAACACTGGTAGCATGGACGATACTTAATTTCGCGCAATCTCTGCAGATCATGAAAAATATAGAGATAGAACACTGATGTCACTATTATCAATGTGAAAAAGGATTATTCATTTCATAAGTGATCATATATCGTATGTGCGCGAGCATTCTAATCCAATTCACAAATTTCAAAACCACTGCTTAACTGATTCAATCTCTGCAACTCATTGGGCATTTCAATGTAACGGTTTCATTTTCCTGTCTCCCATCCTCTTTTTAACATATTTTTATTCTAAATTATTTGAATATTTACCAAATTCAGGCCATTTTACTACTGGCATTAATAACCAAGCCAAAAGTGGAGTATAACGATATGTTGCTCGTTCATATGGCGACTGTCCATGGTAAATGTATTCCGCTGCATCCGAATAAACTTTGTAATCAACATCGGTAAACTGTACCTTTAAATTTCAGAAATTTGAAATTTACTTTCAACTATTCATCAAAAGAAATCGATGTTACCACCATACGCTTTTTTGTACCTTCCATGCCCTTATTATCATTACTTTCAATAACTGTCACTGGATTACTATTGGATAAACAATTCCGTCTCACCATTCTTCTTGTACAAACCCTTCCCTTCTTTTACTAAATGTTGAACTTCTTGCATTTGAAAAAAAAGCATTTAAAAAAAAGAAAAAAAGATTTTCAATCAGATGTGCTTTACCCTAACTAATGCCACAAAAGACTTTTCACACTTTACTTGAAATGAAATAAAGCCTAAACTTGCCGATAAGAAAAATCCTTACGCCCTGTAAGTGAATCACATCGGCATCCTTCATTACAGATACAAAAATTTCTGTCACTAAACAATAAAATCCGTAAGATCACCGACTTTTCAGTGTAAACTACCGCCCAAAGAATCATTTCGTCTTGTTATCTGATCTCAATTCTCGCCTCGCTTACAATCCAATAACTAATTCATCACCACACTTCATTTCAATTTGTAATACTCACTTCATATTAAACAATACTTGAATCTTTTCAAAATACAAACAACGGTTCATTTTCATGCCACTTCATTTAAACTGAAAGCTAATTCCATTTTAGCTTATATCAGGGATTCACTTCATCTCATTTCATGTTGTCAAAGTTCATTTGATTTCATTTCAAATATCAAGAATCCATTCCATTTCATTACAGGATCAACGCAAAATCCCAATTTATACTGAAACATAAAGTCTAACCTTAAACAAATAATCATGTATGCGGCCATAATACACCAAAATAATACGGCACAAAAACGAAAATAGTAAAATCTGGTTTCGTTTCCATATGTTTTCCGAGCTTTTAATATTTTCCAATGTTTGTTTACCGGAAGTCTTCCGCTCTTTCACTTTCATTTCATTCCACGGGAAATTCAATTTATATGATGTACAGCCATTTTTACCTGTTGAAAGTACTGAATGATTGAGGATTTCGTGGAATTCACACAAAAAGATCGCAAACAACAGTTCTTACTGTCCATCGCCCTCAAACGTGCAACCTTTACAACGGACTTTCCCAGCGTCCCGAAACAACCAAGTCATTTACAGTATGCAAAGAATCGCCTCAAGAATCATATTATCCGTTTAAGCACCATTTAGTTGACGCTTTCCCACGAAAGATTCTCCAGACCCGAGCCAGTAAATGTTCTGTGACCTGGTGCATATCACGCTTGCTGTGACCCGACAGATATCATGCATGCTATGACCTGGCAGATATCACGCCTGATGTGACCCGACAGATATCATGCGTGCCGTGATCTGGCAGATATCAGACGATGCTACGACTTGACTACCCCAGGTTTCTTCAAAAGACTTTCCTGTCGTTCTTTTTGCCATCGAATTGCTTGGAGGTTTTGAGGTTTCGGAATTAGGGAAGGTTCATTAGAAAAGGTCTCGGAACTTTTTCGAGATTGTCTTGGAAAGTTCCCAACATTTCGAGAATTTATCCGAAATCTCTTTACTTCAGTTTCCAGAATATTTTTCCCAATTTTCTAGTTCGCTTTTCATTCTTTGAATTCCCCAAGAAATTATTTGATCAACGAAATGAAAATTGTTAATGCTATATGAGATTCGGCAAAGTATTTAAAATACAGAGAAATGTGTTCGTTAAAGTTAAAATAAATTTTATCTAAAAGAATTTCTTTTGTGATTAAACTGGTGGTAATTTTCAAATGATATTAGCAAATGTGACACAACACTGAATGTCGAATAGAGGATATAATTATCTAACAAAATTTAAATATTTTTTAACTTGAGTCATATCAATCAAGAACAGCAAAATATGGGAAATTTCAAGTAGCGTGAAATTTTTGAATCATGAATATTAGGGAAAAAAAATGATAAGTTATAAGAGGAAACAAGAATCACTGCTTTTCCGAGATTATGACATAAAAAGATAAGTCAACAGATGGTGGTCAGGTAAGTAAGCAATTAATTAAACAGCCAAACAATTAATAAGCATTAGCCACCAATTAACTTGATATATTCTATTCTTTCATGATTGTCGTTCCCGAGTCAACATTCGATTGTACATCAACGCCTCGAACAAATAGTACTTTTTTCAGATCATTAGACATATCGTTTAAAAAATTCAAGTATTTCCAGAAACGTTCCAAATGGACCGGTGGTTCTGGTATATTCATCAGCACGAGGACAGCATCCGAACTACGTCTTATGATTTCTTTATTCAACTGTCGAGCTCTTTGCTGCAAAAATATGGAATCAAGGATAGTATATTTTGCTTCATAGTTGTCGATTTAGTCTAAATTTAAATTTATAAATTTGAGTTCAAGTTTTCCAAATTTTGTAATTTCTGTTTTCACAATCACAATTTTCACAATTTTGTTTTCACAATTCGTTCCTCATCGGTTTGAGTTTCGAAAATTTCGAATTATTCTCAATGGAAAATGATTTCTAAGCATTATCTGTCACAACAGTAAGTGTATATGAAAAGACAGATTTAAGTAGCGATAATGAAATTTCTGGTCTAAGTCTAAAAGCTTTTTTTTTCTGGTCTGAAAGTTGTTTTTTGATTTGGAGATATGTTTGATATATATATATATGCTATTAGTAGTTGTTATACAGCCTTAATTGAACAAATCTTTTGACAGCTTTGTTGCTAATACACAATACATTATGGTAATTAAACATGCTAGTACTTTTTCACCAATTAAGGGTTACCTGTTGTTCGCTGATTTTCACCAGGGAATTACCTCTTATCGAGCTTGTCATTGGCCCTTGAAATCCGCTGTCAACAGCATTTTGTGCTGGCATTCCATCAGGTCTGAAAAACAATTTTATCATTTTTATCTACTTATTTATTAACCATTTTCAAAATTGACTCTCATCGATGCTTACGCTCAGAGTTGAAGGGTTAGTTAAATCAATGCTTAAAATATAATACGGATTTTGAAATAACAGTACTCATCGTCTGTGCATGAATTTTATTCAATTTTGTTCTTTTATAGTATCTTTTAATCCATCGTAAATATTTCAGTGATTAATTCACTGCTAAAGAAATAATCCAACTTTATGGAAGTAAGCAAAAGGCATAATTTCAAGACCTATTTCACACCAAGTTGAGATTTTAATATAAGAAATTTAGCATCTCAAATGCAGTATATTGGATTAAAGCATAGGTCGTTACTGTTCAAAATTGTGGTTTACCGTATCATCAAAATATTAGTGGAATTCATAATTATGCTATCTTACTCTTTATATTTAAAATCATTGGTCAAAAATTGAGCCTTTATCTGACATTGTTTGCTTGACAAAATCATTTAAAAATTATTTCTCACATTCCAATCAATCGTTTCAGATATGTAAACCACGATTTATCATCCGTTTTACAGTATCTTCGTTTTATTTGTAATGGTCTTAGTTGTACATAATCTGATATAATCCAAGACTGCAATTGGTTTATAAATTTTTCAAACACTTGAATTTTCTCAAACTATAATTTTATGAAGACAAAAAAAAACAAATTTCATTTCATGAATTCCGTATCTTTATTTTTACAGTTTCAAATATTCGTCACTTTTGATTCCTTAGTAAAAAGTCCTCATGGAAAATTTCCAAAGATGCAAAGTTTCTTAAGGGCCTTAAAATATAACATAGCATTTTTTTGTCTTTTCCTTTTGTTATTGAAGTTAACACAAATAAATTAATTAAATGTGATTAGGTAAACTGGTAGTAAAAGCAGTAAATTAAGAAGTCAGAAGTGTATGGATGAATGAAATAGTTCGATTTTTGAAAGGGAAAAGTTGACATCAGCTTGTATAAATTCAATTTTGTATATCAAATAATGATTGTCGATCAGCCACAAAAGAAGAGCGTTTTCAATTTGCTTGATATCATCTTCCATATCCACTACCACAAACAGACGTAACTTCGCTTTATACCAAATTTTATGCTTTTTCAACATTTTTGCAACCATTAAAAGCACATCACCATTATCAATAATCCACCAAATATCAATCGTTTTGTTTGATTTCACAGGCTATGAAACGATTAATTAAAGAATTAGCTTACAGACTTGTGCCTTTGGCCCGTTAACTAATGAATTTTTATCTAGTTTCCTAATTAAGAATCGCAAAAAGCAAACATTAGTTTAGTTTAACTAACGACCTATAATAAATCAAAAAATATCATTATATTAAGTAAACAATATTCTCTATATCGACAACTGCTTTCTTTTTTTATGAACATTTAGAAATTTGGATTACCGGTATTTTTAGCGGAAAAGTACCCTTAACAACGACTAAATTACAATGTTGAACACAAACACGATGCATATGATAATGATAAAGTAATGAGTCAGGTAAACCGCTTAAAGCTGCTCTGAAACAATCAGTATGACGATATGAAAAATTAAATGCAAATATATTTCATTTTAAAAAATTGTAAAAATTAGAAAAAATTTTCAAAAATTCTAATAATAATATAAAAGCTAACTCCGATGGATATTCGATTATAACTGTATTTGACTGAAAAACTCCCAAACCACAGCAACTTGCTAAGGCAGATGCAATCGAATGCAAAGAACTGATCTGAAAATCGATTGAGCGAAAAATTTTGAATTAACTAATGGTTAGATTAATGGAAGAGTTAAAATCTTAGGATCATTTGATGACCGAAAGTAGGATATTAAATCTATCCTCATATATTGCGTAATCATGATAAAGATGGTCTTTTTCTTTTCAGGAATTATCATAATGATATATATATATGCTAATAATTGATTTTTCACTTTCTCTTATCGTGGTTGTAGTAACAATATTTTTCGGACGATACCGTCCGGAAAATATTGTTACTACAATGAGAGGAAAGTGTTCAGTAGTTATTAAGAATAATATACTTTTTGATACTTAAATTGTGTCGCATAACCGGATAGATCAATATATTCCATGTATTGTCGTGCTGTACGTACATCTTCAGAGCCGATATTTTCTTGATCACCTGTATCACGTATAAGTGATAAACAAAGAGCACTACGATCTGAAATAAGCAAACATTTGTTAGTGATAAAAGGTTAGTGATAGTTTTTTGATAATGATAATTTTCAGATGAATTCAACTTTGATTATAAAGACTTTAATCTATATCATTAAGTTCTGTTCTAAGATCCAGTGCGATCTAAACTATGACAAAAAAAAAAAGAAAAGAAAAGAAAAGAA